ATAAAGCACTTTAACATTCTAGCTGTATTCCTGTTATTACTCTATCCCTGACCTCTCAGCATCAACTGAGTCAGGCGAAGGTAATTTGTGATCTCAGGTGTGGTCACGAGTGTGATGCTAACAGTGCTTCAATGTCAGCTTTTTTAGCTTAATTCATTCAAAAACAAGTAACAACCTTGCGTTTTTTTAATCATATGGGCCAGGGACTTCTGGAAAACAATAGCAGTAAGCCAACAATTATTGAACACATACCCAAAAAGTCAGACCGCTGTTCTAAAGTACTTTACCAGAGAGTTTTATTACTATTTCATTTTACTTATGGGGAAATTGAGCCAGAGCACAGTCCATGATTTGAACCCAGACATCTAACTCTAGGGTCTATACCTATCCAATTCTGTGATAGTGGCAAAGTGGGTGCCAGATAGAAATAAACCAGTCAGGAGATCATGATTACTACAGCATTAGAGGCAAGAGATAATATGGGTTAACAGGAATACCTAGAATGTTTTTTAAAAACACATACCTTTCTTTTTTCAAATAGCTAACTACCAATGCTGCTGAGAGCTGAAAGTTACCGGGTACTTCAATATACTGCTACTGAGAGTATAAACTGCTGTGACCTTTCGAGAAAACAGAGTACATCAACAGAGTAAATTAACAGAATACATCAAGACCTGAGTGCTACATTCTATCAGTGTTCAGCAATGCCACTTGTAGCAATTTATCCTAGGGAAATAATCACAGATGTGCATGACAGATGTTCACTGCAATGTTATTTCTAAAAGTAAATAACAAGAAACAATATAAATGTCTAATAAAAGGAGATGGGATAGAGAAACCATTACATTTCCATATATCTGAACACTATGCTGTCATTTAAAATGATGCTGCAGAAAAAAGGAATAAGCATTTTATTAAGGAAAAGAAGTATGTAAAAAAGCCCATTGATATGGGCTTTGGTATCTGATTGGTTAAGTTCTGAACTGGTGGGTTTACCAGCTATGTGAACATGGGCAAGTCATTTCCTTCCTTCCTTTCCTTCCTTCCTCTTTTTTTTTTTTTTTTACCAAGTCTAGCTCTGTCACCCTGGCTAGAGTGCAGTGGTGTGATCTCAGCACAATGCAACCTCTGTCTCCCAGGTTCAAGTGATTCTCCTGCCTCAGCCTCTCTAGTAGCTGGGATTACAGGCGTGTGCCACCATGCCCAGCTAATTTTTGTATTTTTATTAGAGACAGGGTTTCGCCGTGTTGGCCAGGCTGGTCTCAAACTCCTGACCTCAAGTGATCTGCCTACCTTGACCTCCCAAAGTGCTGGCATTACAGGAGTGATGTAATTCACTAATTTCTCTGAGCCTCAATTGTCCTGTGTATAAATGGGGATAATAAAAGTACTAACCCCAAGGGTTATGAGAATAAATTAATATATATAAAATGCTTGGTATTTAGCTTGTCACAGCACAAACATGCAATAAATGTTACTCAAGTTGCAAACAGAGAAAGCTAACACAACACAAACACATATTCTAAAAACTTGGAAGATAATATAGTACAATTTTAACACTGATTATCTCTAGAAACAGTGTAACAGATTTTGATTTAAACTATTTTCTAGATTTTATTTATTGAATAAAGTCAGCAACATATTAATATTTGAATATCTCCATTTTTTTCAAGTAGTCTTAATACTCCTTTTGATCTATTAAGTTTCCCTAGTATTATCCAGTCTATGCATATTGTGTTTATGAAAATGGGGTATTTATTGATTTAACCTGAAGAGTAATACAATTCACTTTAATTCTTCAGAGTAAAACAGCTTGCTCATATTTCATCCTATAAAAGTCTTTTCCACAATCATACATTCGTAGATCAAGAGCAGTCTGAACAGATCACTGGAGCATAAAAGACTAGAGAATGGATTTGTATCTCTAAAAAGCAAAGTTAAAGGAGACAAACATGACAACTTCACGATAGTTATAAAGAAAAAAATGATATGTTACCTTAATTATGTAAGGTCAGAAATTACTGCAATAAATATTTCAACTCCATGCACAATTTCCTAGTGTGATCAAAAGATGAAAGTAATTCACTAGTTCAGAAGTCCATCCAGTATAGTGACCATCATTCTGAAAGGAAAAAGAAATTTCTTTGATGTAATGGAACAATACTCATTTTTAGGCTTGAGATCCACAGGAGAGAGGAATCAATTATTAGAGACAGCTATGCATTTTGGAAATCAAAGTACAGTTAAGCCACTTTCCTGCTTGGGGTGCAGGGGCAGGCCAGAATAAAAGGGAGCCTAAGATACCATGCAAAGAGTCCCTTTTGCTTTAGGGAAAGGCTAGCTATTTGCTCTTGTGACTCACCACCACTGCAAAGAAAAGCGCTGGATCCCTCACAGCTTTCCACCTTCTGTCCTGTTCTCCTCCTCCATGTGTCTGGTAGTACATACATAAGAAGGCACACGTGTACCTCTCTATTTTTACGTATTTTTTAAACTCTGTCATACTTACTCAGACCACTCCATAACAAACACATGACCTTTCTCCTAAAAGTCTTAATGGTAGTTCCCTGGGACTAAAACTTTGGAACTGTTTTCAAGTCATCCCTCTCACCATTACCTTCCACTATCAGTCCACCACCACTTTTCCCCGAATGTCCAGCTGCTCTCTACCCCTTCTTTTTCACTCCTATCACACTGCTAAACCAAACTTTCTTGGCATACCCCATCTGTTTATAACAAGAGCCTCTAACTTGGACCCTCTGCAGATCACAGCCTATCCACTCTCGTACAGAAAAATTGCTTTCATCCTATTTATGTAACCTTGAACAGGATTGGGCCCATCCTTTTGACTGTAAAATGAAGAACTGGTCTCAATGTTCTCCATCCTCACTGTGCTTTGAAGTCAGATGTCACTGGACATGAATCCTGATCCAGTCACTCTGCAAAACTCAGACAAGTATGTCTGCTCACAATTCAGTCTTACAATGCATAAAATAAAATGGGAACTCGTATATCTACTCAAAGGCTGCTGTAAAATAATAATGGGATCTTATGCCTTGCAGATCACACAGCAGGTACTGAACAATACTGGTTATTCCCATCCCACCTTACAGAATCCCACAAGCTTTGAAGTTCTCTGGTCTTATAACTTCCAAACTTAACATTTTCGTACATCTACATCCGTAGTGATAATGATTTTCTCTTCCATCACATATAAACTCCTCTGTTGACCTTCAGTTCTTCCATTATCTATCACTACTTTATCTTCCTCTAATTTCCAATAAATGCCTTCTATTCAATCAGGTTAGTCTGATCATTTTCCCAAGAACACACACTTACACCCTGCCTTTGTGCCCATCAGTTCCCCTAGACTTTTCTTATCCCCTCTGTCAAGGTCCAGTTTGAATCCAAAGCCGCCCAATGCCGACCTTGCAAATAATTTAACCCTCACACACTGCCTTAACATTATTGTCTACTCTTTCATGTTTACTGAGATGAGCTGTCCAGCTGACAAAGACTATTCCGATTATTTCAAGTTAAGCTTTTTACTTCAGTGTGGATTGTATTAGAGTTTTTACAAACTACATATTTTTTGGATCGATTCTGTCAATGCTTTTTGAAATTCATAGGCCTTTGTGCCTTAAGATAAGAGTCTTTTATTAATTCCCTCATTTTTATTTGAGGCTCACACAAGGAGCTGGTTCCATTATCAATGGGTAGACCATTGGCAGACAATCTGACAGCTGTCTCATGAAGCCAGATAAGAGTTCTAAGTATGTCTAATGTCTGTCAGATTTTGTGACAAAGTGAACATGTTCTAATTTCAAGTACCATTTTAAGACTAAACTCTCAATGGCAGCAAGGATGATGCATGGTGGGGAAAGATGACTGGTCACTAGAGTTTCACCTGAAGATGATGGTTGAAGCTCCAGGGATAAATGAAGGTTCTAAGGGGAATCAGTAGAAGACACAGTGAAGGGTCAAGGGACATAGAAGAAGACAGAGTGGTTACAGAAGCAGGAGAGCAACTACAAGGGTGGAGAGGCACACAAGCCCAAAGAGAGTTGAGTAACACATCAAATGCTGCAGATGAGGACAAAATGTCACTGGGTTTAACAATTAGGAAGGCATGACCCCTTAAGGCAATTTTCAAAATGGCAGATACAGGATGCTGACTCAGGGCATTGAGGAGAAACTAGGAGGAAGGCAAACGGACACAAGCAGAGACTGCCTGCCAAGAACTTTGGCTCTCAAGCCAAAAGGTTTGTGCTGGTCATTTTCTAACCTTGAACTTAACAGCTCAACGAAATACCCAAGTTCACTCTTCTTCCCTGCCAAGAACTTTGGCTCTCAAGCCAAAAGGTTTGTAGTGGTCATTTTCTAACCCTGAACTTAACAGCTCAACGAAATACCCAAGCTCACTCTTCTTCCCTTGCTTCTCACCTGTCCATGTGCAGAGATAACTGACAGTTGACTGCAAACCCTTCCCGCCTTTTTTCTTCCAACACCACCTTCACATGCCTGGTTTTGGTTCCCTAACAAATCTTACAGAACTATTCAACAGCTATATGTTATCAGGTCTCAAAAGCTAAGTTATATTCTTCTTCTGCTGTAGGTAAATGATAGTTACTTAACATAAAAGGAAAGACACTAAAATGCGTCAAATCAACAGAACAAAAGTCCAGGTTCGGATCAAATACCATATTACTATCTTTGGGTAACCTATGTAATTTATGCTGAATTATTAAAAAATAGCTTTTCTTCCTTCAAAATAAGTGTTTTGTTCTTTACTGTTAAGTTTAGAAAAATCAAAGAAAAAACTAAAAATCATGAGGATAATTAGCACTTTGTTGAACCTCCTTCCACTTTGATATGTATGCATGACACATATAAACATAATACACAATGTGTAAGTGCATATAAGTTTCACTAAAAGTGAATCATATGGTATTACTGGTAACTTGTTTTTCCCACTTATTCTGATGGGAAATTCTGTATCACTGAATAGTCTTGTATGCTTTCATTTTTAATGACTGCTCAATAATCCATTTTAATAAATTCCCTTGAAGTACTTAAGTCACCTCCAATTTTTGATTATATATTTAATGCTGAGAAAGATATCCTTCACTATACCATCAAGTATTTGCCTGGGATAAGGTCAAGGTCAAATGTATAGAAAATGTGAGGATCTGATATTGACAATTTGCCCTACACAATGTTTGACCCAGCGGCACATAACAAAACCCACTCTTCCACACCCCCTCTAACACTGGGTCATGTTATTTTTTAAATTGTATTCTATAGATTTAATTTTAAAATTTTGATTAGCATATCTTTGGGGTTGAACACTTTGTACCTTTTTACACTGTTGTTCATGTTTTCTATTTTTCTCCTGGTGTGTTCATCTTATTGATCTGGAATACCTTTTTGTATATCCAGGATATTAATTTCATATATCCAGAATATTAAGGATTTATAGATTGATATATTAATATATAATGGATTTTCACATTTATATATTAATATTAATCTATATATCCTGGATAATGGAGAGAAAATAGTGTATTTATTAAAACTTTTGCCTACAAGGAACAAAATCAACTCAAGCATATTAGAGCCAGAAAGGATCTTTATATAAGGATACTGAGGGATCCTTCACATAGAAGGATACTAATATATAAGCTTTGTCATGTGTTTATTACAATTCGTTTCCCCAGTGTATTTTATTTCTAAAATGGAAACATGACTACTTCACTAATCTATTTTGAAGATTCAAGAACATGCAAGTATTAAGTCATGAGTGGAATTAATCATCCTAAAAACAAAAACAAAATTGCTGCTACTTAGGACTTAATAAGGTCCCGTATTCTCTGTCCTTATGATGAACCTACTAGGCAGGCATTTCCATTCCTCTTTTACAGAGAAAATGTAACAGATATCCACAGACAGTAAAGTGATAGTTAGATTTTAATTTTTACAAATAAGCTCTGTATTGATCCTAAAAAAGACTTGGTAACAGAATTAATCCCAGCTGTGTTTGTAGTAAAATTTCCTCCTTAGAAGTAATTCCAGGGACTACTCCCATTTGTCTGCCAGCCACAAACCAAGTTACTAGGTTCTGTAGCAATCATTCTTTTAAGTTTCTCTAAATTCTCTTCTTCCCCTTCCTCTATGACATCTTTACTATTAAGTGTCATTCTGATAGCAAGAAAAATATTTTTGGCTAGGAGCCAAGGCTACATTATCAGTCACTACAAGTTTAACCTGATGGCAGTTACTTTGCTAACATTATAAATACATTAAAGGGACTTCAGTGGCTTATACGTTAGTGATGTCTATAGTAACAGCATACATCTGAACCCACGCTTTTGTCAGGGGCGAAGCACACCATGCTGTATAAATATTTTGTGTACAGCCTGTACTGAAATTCTAGATTAAGAGGCATTCACAGAGCCTCTGTAATATGCTGGTTGCTCAAGACAGCATATTTTTATCAATTGTGTGCAAGCTTTGCCATATTCTACAGAGATCTCCTTTATTTAATCATAGTTCCCCCACCCCCAAGTGTTTTTATTTTTTAAATGCATTGGTTGTGCTATGGGCAAGGCAGCATCTGAAATAATGGCAAAAGTAACGTAGCTGATCATCGAACTGGTTGTACTCAATTAGCCTGGCCTCTGAGGATTCCGAGGGCAAAAGTGCACAGTGTGAATGAGCCTGGTAGATGAGATTTTTGCAGGAATATTAACAGAGCTAGACTACCCATTGCCAGAAAAGGGAAAAGGAAATACTTTTATTAGTTCACTGAAGACTTACAGAAAATGCTTAGGAATTTGAAGGCTACTCTTATGGACTAACAGGTTTCCAAATGGGTTTTGGAAACAGACAATAACAACAAAACAACAACAAGAAATACCTCAAATCCTCCTGCTAATTTGGGGCAGGTACAGCCACACCCCCCCCATACTCCCCTCCTCCCAAAAACCCCCAGCAAGTAGCCAGGAGGAAGGGCAGCTGCCACCTCTACGTGGGGAACTGGCCAATAGGCGACTGTTGCTAGGTGACCACAGAGGAAGCAGTGTCTCTTGCACCACCTGGCGGCAGCCAGCATTTGAGCAGTTA